GGAGAAGAAGAAGAAGGAGAAGAAGGAGAAGAAGAAGATGAAGACGAAGATAAAAGAACATGACGCAAAAGAAGTCGAGATAAGCCCAGAAAGATTTGGTGAACAATTGTTTCGTTAGTTTTCAACTGCGGTTACATATAGGAAAAATAAAACAGATTTTTTTCGCTGATAACGCTCGAGTAAACTATGTTTATTGAAACTTTATGCAACCCTTTCATTTTTTTCCTTCCTTCTTTTTTGGTTCTTCTATAAAATTCTCTGTTAGGCTATATTAGCAGTGTTTTCACGGTACAAAATTTCATTATTGGTTCCATCAGCTGTTTTCCCAATTCCAATTTCCACCCATTATTTATGCCACCAGACGGTCAGCTGCTATAGTCGGCTGAATATACACTGTGTAAATAACACAGGAAAAAAAAATAGAACTTGTAAAAAAAAAAAAGTATAACAAAATAGAAAAAAATTCAAACAAACAAACAGTGTTGTAAGAGTGTAAATTTTTTAGAGGAAAAATACAACCAAAATTAGAAACGAAGAAATAAAATGAAGAGGAAAAAAGAAGTCATTGAAAAAACTGAAACTGTCACATAATTTAAATCCCTTTTCTTAACAGTATCTGTTTAAAAAAGGAAAAAAAAATTTGAGGAAAAAAGATGGAACAAAATAATTGGTTAAAAAGAAGAAGAAGATAAAAAAAAAAACGAAAAACAGACTGTTTCAAAAAAACGGCAAAAAAAATTGTTTGGTTAAGCGTTATACAATCAAATCAAATTTACAAAAAAAAAAAATTTGTTTTTTTGTAACTTTGTTTTTTTTTTCTCTTTTCTGCTCTTCCATCAATACTTCTGATACATTTAAACTATCAAACTGTTATTGTTCTCCAATCAAAAAAAGAAAAAAAAAAAGTACAAAGACACACAAATACAAACAGAATTATATACAAACATAAATAGGCCCAATCTATCCTCCTCGTTCGCACACTTCCCCACTCCGTCTGATACCTTAAAATCATTTCAGACTTTGCCAATCAATGGAGTCCAAGCGCCAGCATACAGAATGCCGACAAAAGAATCTGGAAAAATTAATTCTCTGCCAAGGCACACTTCCGCTCCCCCCACCTACACAGAAGAAAAATTGTAAAATTTACAAGGTTACCTTCTATCTGACATACCTTTCTTCAAAAACTTGTAATTTAGCTAAACTTCAGTAAAATTTGAAGATATTTTTAGCCCGTTGAATTTGTCGTGTTTTTTCTTCTAAACAAATACTGAACATTTAATTATGCTCAGAGGTTGTACAAATACAATGAAAACAAAATTCCAAATAAATATCAAAAAAATAGACGTGTCTTTAAATTTGAATAAAAAAAGACATATTTTCTGTAAAACTTGTTGCTCTATAAAAATATCAAAAAATTGGTGACGGCAGTTTTCCACATTTTGGTGTAACGAACCGGAAAAGAGTCTGAGAGCAAAAATTAACTTACCTTTTTTACAGCAACTTTGAGCATTTTACGATGGAGAAACTGTTCTCAGCTATTTTTGAAGACTAGGAAACGTTTTTTTAGCAGTCTTTTTCACGGATACAATTCAAAGAGCTTACATCGTTCTCTATTCACTGGCCTCTCAAACAATAGAATAAAATTCTTCAACCCGATGAATGTTTTTGTTCTCCACATCTCTGAGTTTTAGTTATACAACAAAAGTAAGCCCTTCTTGTCGTTCTTTGTTTAACATTATGTGCTGTAATTTCTTTAAACCGACGAAGCTATAAATAGGTCAGGAAGAATCTGAACCCTGCAGTTAACTCGTTGAAGCAGTAGGTTTCTAGACCTTCTCGTGATGCCAGTGTACGTACAAGATCCATAATTTCGATAAGAGAAAAAAGTGAGAAGCAGGAAGAACTGAAATAAAGATTACTTTTCTCGACTTTACAGAATAATAAAGTGTTAATATATTAAAGTATAATACAATTTCTGGGAAAAACCTTTAAGAGGTAAAACACCGAGATTTTCTAACCACTCTTTGTGGCTTTCAGAATCAGCTGAAATCGGTTTCAGCACTGTAAAATGCGCTAATTTACTGTACGACCGACCGGCTTATTTTTTTTTTAGTCTTAGAGTCTCTTCCGGTTTGTAACACCTAAATCTGAAAAGATCATCAACACTAATGTGTATTATTTTATAGAGCAAAAAGTTTCACGCAAAGTATTTTTTTGATTTTGAAGACACACTTTTCTTTTTTGATATCTACTTTGCAATCTTGTTTTTATTTTTTTGTTATGTCTACGCAACTTCTTAGCGAAATTTAATTGCTCCATATGCGCTTGTTGTAATCTTTGACCTAGACTCTGATAACCAGAAGAGCTTGAAAAAAATTTCAGTATGTTAATGTGCGATGGAGCGTGGAATGGTCCGGATGCATTTTTTTTTGTTTCACCGTCTTTCAATTACAATCACCAAACGTCACTTGCCTTTCAGTGTAAAACAGTAGCAAATTATTGATACCAAAAAAAGGCTTTTTTTTTAAGATGTAAAAAAAAATCAAATAAATAGCAGCAAAATTTGTAGCAGATATCCGGAAGAGATTAATGCAAATAAATCATGAGCAACTTTACGCTGAAGTTGTGCAACATTAATTGGATATTTTGCTAATGATAGCGAGAGAAAAATTTTTTTTTTTGAAGAAATAAAACTAACTAAAAAAAGAGACAAAAACAGATGTGACCAATCTGGTTGTTAAAAACCTTTTTTTTTTTGTTTGTTTCTATCTTTCTAAACAGCATCAAGTTGAAAACCGCTTTAAGAGAATATCGAGACCCTGAAATTTTAGATGTAATTCGTCAAAAGAGGAATCAATAAAAGAGAGAAAAAAGCTGAGAAGAATTAAAAAAAAAGAACGAAAAAAAGTCTAAAAGCCATCAAATTGCTGCACATAAAGCCATAACCATTCCGTGGTTAGCCGATGACTTCCCGCTCTCACCCCCTCACTCCTCCCCGCCTGTGGTTTGTCCTTCTGCGCCTTCTTCGTTTTCCTTCTTCACTATTCACTTCAACAAACGTTATTATACTATTCCTGTCCCTTGTTAATTGCCATATGCCCTTCAGAATGGCTTTCCAATTTGAAAGCCACTGAATTTTATCTGGGTAATGCAGTGTTCTCCAATTTTTTTCAGTTGTTCGCATTCTACTTTCTGCTAAACTTTAACCTTTGTCCGCAATAGCCGTTTCCGTCCGTACACAAACCACAAAAATGGTTTCAATTTAAAAAAAAAAAGTATTCTCAATTTTTTCTCAGTACGTTTTCATCACAACTGAATTGGAATGGCTGTTTTTATGCACAATAGACATAGTAGACGATGTTCAGATTAAAAACGGAATAAATCCTAATGATTTCGAAAAGAAAAAATGAACAATATAAAAGTTAATTGTAAATTAAATTGTCCTCTAGCATCCTTCTAATAGCACTCGTATCGCTTATTTTGATCCTTCATTCATCAATGCAAAACTTCAGTAAACTAATTTTAAAATTAGCACTTTCACAAGATAATACAAATAATAATCATATTTCTTTATCGTTGTTTTCGGAATTCCAAATTTGATCAGTTTTAGCTGTTTTATAGTTTTTTTTTTTTTCTTTTTATTGAGCAGAAAATAAAGTTTCAGGAAACAATGATAGACTACTAAATTATCGATGGTAAGATAATAAAAACTTTGTTGAATGTATCAGTCGTAAAAAATGGTACTGAAAATAGTCATTGGTCTAAGGCAAAAATTTGAGTCTGTTACTTTTTTTTTCTTCTTTTCTTTATTCAAAGTAATGATTAAAAAAGAAAAAAGTGAAACTATGACAAACAACCAGATCAGGTATTAGTATTTGACTTGTCAAGCCAGATAAATTTGTA